TTGGTATTGCCAGCCAAAGTAATATAGACCAGCTGGGGTGGGAGTTAGACAAGTAGCGCTTGTCTAAGCGATGCCACTAGGAGAAGCAAAGGAGTGGATATTTATGTGTGTTTATGCGCCTGTGGGGAGAGGAAAATGTGATGGGAGGGCTGATGTTAAGCTATCAGGGAAGAAGCACTCAACCTCTTACAGTGAACAACTGAAAAAGCATAACGGCTGCACGAATGAGCAGTGACAATTATTCATGTGCCTTTTTGTGTGTGTGTGTGTGTTTTCAGAGGCACTTTGACCAAACATCAAGTGATGACACATGATTATTGTACGTTCACGCGATCTAATGCTCTCAAATGTGAAAATATAAACAAAGACTCCAATATGGTGCTAAAATTTAAGTGCCTACCTAACTTCTCAAATTTTTTGTCACAAAGTGAAATTTCTTCTGTTTTTTGTTCCAGTGTGTTTGTTTCAGAAACTCGACCAAATTTTAATGTCAGACAAATGTAAGCTGATGTGTAAGTACATGTACTGATATTGCTTCCAGGCTTATGTAAACAATAAAGGACTTAAATAAAAGTAGCATAATACGAAGCGGGCTAACAGGGCTCCAAACGCATCATGTCCCGATGAAAGGGATTCAAGAACAGACGAGAAACAAAGTCACTAACATCCATCGCTCTGAAAAGGGTGACGGAGTTTTATTTTTGTGACTTTTGGACTCTAGCGAGGCAGAGTGAGAGCAATTATTCACAAAGAAAACATAAAACACGGAAGAGTGGCGAATCATCTTATTCAGCAGCTCACAAAAGCACCAAGAACAACATCTGAGCTGCCGGGCATCACTTCCCTCAAGTTAAGGTCAGTGTTCATTATGGTACAATAAGAAAGAGAGCTGGGTAAACGGCTTTCACAGGAGAGAAAATGACTGAAGGGAACAAAAATGTCCCTTTCACAATTGCAAGAAAATAACTTGACGAGCCTGAGACTTTTTTGGAAAACGTTCTGTGAACTAATCAGTCTAAAGTCATACACTTTGGAAGATGTGTGTTCAGTTACATGTGGCGTCAACGAAAACAGCATTTCAGAGAAGGAACCCACTATAAACCACGGTGGTAGAGGTGGGATGGTCTGGGGCTTTTGGTGCTCCTTACCACAACTGATGGGATCATGAATTTGGCCCTCATGGTGAACATCCTTAAGCTCGAGCTCTCTTGGGTTATACAGAAGGACCAGGATCTGAAGCGTGCCTGCAAGTTTTACTTGGAATAGCTTAAAAACAACCCACTTAGAGGTTGGCTGGTTTGGATTGATTTATTTTCCCCTGTAATACATAAAATCTGTGATGTAAAGTCATGCAGCCTATGGAATCTGTTGAGGAAAGCTACATCATAAAAACACATTTAAATCTTAAATGATTCAGCTAAAGTCATTGCCCTAAGACAGACACAATCATGGCAGACTTTGGTCATCCAGTTGTTGGGCATGTACAACAGCACAATTGAGTTTTTTTTCATTGGAAATGCAACATTTGTCACACTGTACAGTCCTGCAGTTTTCAAGATTATTAAACAAACAAACAAAAAAAATGGCAATGTTCAACGAGTTTAAGATTTTTGTTAGAAAATGTTTATTTTTACGTCGGTGATGTGTGGCTTTCCAACATCTTTTCGCGAACGCAGTGTTCCCATCACGCGAGTCCTAGTGTGAAAACAGCACCTTTTCGACAAGGACAAATGAAAAAGTAAATCTGTCATACAAAGGCGAAGAGAAAATAGAGAGACAAAGAAGTTGAGTTGAAATAATGGGTTTTAAAACTGGCATGTAGCCTGAATTGTAGGGCATGAATAGAGAGAAGAGAATAAGCAGGACACTGGGGGGCAAAATGACAAAACAGCAGTGTGTCTGTGATTGCTGCAAGTTTACTGTTTAAACAATCTGACATTTAATTACAGACAGGACAGGCTGACCCTGCAGGGGATAGCACTCTAACATGTATTCAATCAAGTGAGTCCACAGAAGGACAAATAAATAGTTTGCAGTGGACGATAGCACTAAGGGAAATAAATCAGTGGGGCTCTTTTTCTTCATGCATGTCCACCGTCATCTGTGTTGCAATCAACAGACTTCATGAGCGTTCATTGGCTTCCTTCAAAACTAAATGTCCAGACAAAAACTGGTGGCTGGGATTGTTTGTGGTTATGTCTAGATGACTCCAACAGCGTTGTGCTGTATTCACTAGTAGCTCATTTCATTTTGCAAACAGTTTTGACACATTTCCAACATTTAACTGGCTCTCCTTAAGAAAAGAACAAACATGATCATTTTACCACCATCATGGGGATGGTTTGTTCTCGTTAGTTTTCCATCGTAGCGTTTTGCATCAAGCTGAATCAACTCTAATGCAGTTTACATTACCTTTATTTGACAAAGCTCTGAGGCCTTCCCAGAACAGCTGTGCTTAAACTGAGATTAAATCACTCAAAGGAGGAGTCTATTTATTACCATGAGTCCAATAGGTAATGGTTTGCTCTAGAATTCAATCAAGGGAATCAGAGGAAAGGGGGCTGAAAACAAAAGTGTGCAACACTTTTCAAATTTGCAAAAGAAATTTGAAAACTATGAGTCCTTTTGAAATAGAAATAAAATGCATCAAAGTTTGTTTGTTGTTGCACCTTGACATACCATGACAAACTTCCCTGGCAGGGTCAAGATTTCGAATAGTCAAAGAATGAAACCAGGAAGGCCACAGTGAGTTTAAGAAACACAGGAAAAAAAATCAAAGAAATGAAGACCCAGATTAAAGAAACAGTGAAAAGAACTAGAGCAGCACATGGTGATTGCATCTCTGTCTCTAAAAGAAATTGGAAAACTAAGAAAAGAAAAACAAAGAAATAAAAAAAAAGTTTCCTCTTTGCTGTTTCGAGGGGTGGAAGTTGTGACAGACAGCTTCTGCTCCAACACCACTCCTGTGAGAATAACCCAGCTGTCAGAGATGTTAACTGGGATGTAAAAAAGACGGAGCGAGGCAAACACGGTGAGGGCTGCTGTCACAATGACACTGTCTGATGAGGGGCTGAAAGCCAGAGAGATCATGACAGCAAGTGGGCATACGGTATCTGGGATGCTTTATTTTAATTTTTTTTTTCTGACAGATCCACGTTTGAATTTGAATTGTTTTGACCGAGAAGATCAACAACAGAAAGCCGGATCCCTTTTCTGTGGAGCGCGTTATAAGTATAGATTTAACCATTTTCCCGCTGACTGCAAAGAACAATGAAAGGGTGTGATTTTGTTCATTCTGGACCGTCGTCGAAATTCGATTCCAGCGCCAATTCTCAACAAATCATGTCTGAAGGCTCTTTACGACGCAGACCCAGGTTTTGTTCTGATATTTATTCAATGTGACAATATAATTGCATAAGAGACCAGTGGAATGTTTTTAAATGAACATCTAACCCTAAGGTCATTTATTAAAATAATAATAATGATAAAAACAAAAAAAAACAATGTTTATTGCTGCAGAACTCTGCTCTAAATTTTCAATTCAGCTGTTCAGGACCTGCTGTTTAGAATATCTCGGCTCATCTCTTCATTTTTGCGGTCGGGTTTCTCAGCGTTGATGTGTGTGCAGTTGGTCCGAGAGGCACCGTGGTGTCATGGCGTCGCGTTACTGACTCCACTCTCAGAAGCAAACAGAAGAATAGAGTTTCTGCCATGTCTGCATCAGATTTGCTTTAGGGAAAGAAAAAATGTTATATATAATTTACAGTTTTCAATGCGAGAACGTTAGTCCAAAGCTCTACGTTCCCTCAAAGTCTGAAACCTGCTCTGAGATTTTCTTACTTTTCTTTCTTTTTATGCTTTGGTGTGTTTTGAATGTTTGTTTTCATGCTTGGCTCTGTGCACTTATCTTTAAAATAGTCAAAATAAATTGAGTCAAACTGGAAATAGCACTACATTTCAGGTCAAAGAGTGTCGAAAATATGCAACAACTAAACTTGTTGAGATTTATTAGATCTCAACAAATTTGGATGAAATAAGGGTAATGTCAGTGTTTTAGTTCAGTTACATCTTTAGTCTGCAACAGTTGTTGAAACGGGTACATTTTGAGATACATCCACCAAAACTAAATTGTCTACCTGAGGTTGACCAAAGGACAGCACTTTAATCAATCTGTAACTCTGGGATCGTCTGCGCAGCGGGTCAGTCTAAGGAGTGAGGATTATGCCAAAGCACTCCACTGAGTGACAGATCTGCCTCTAGCAGTGTGGCTAACAACTCGGTCAGCTGATTCAACTTGCGTGTACCGCCACTGGGGTTTGTGGAGACGTAATTTAGAGAACGTGCCTTTTTTCTTATATGTTGTTCTTAGATGTAACGGGAAAGAGAACAGGAAAAGATAAGGGAGCAAGAAGAAAAAGAAGACAAAAAATCACTGTGTGCGTTGAATATAAACAAGCACACGTGGATCAGAGGTTAGGTGTTTACCTCTGGCAATGCAAATGATGCAATTCTTTTATTTCAAACAAGACATTAGAGCATTTTGATAATGTATTATAAATGCACATATAGGAGATCTTGTTAATAAGTTATATTACGACTAACTGTCTTCTTGGAGGCAATGCTTTAAATGGCAAAGAGGTGTTTGGTATTGATTTCGTGCTGCACATTCAAGGGGTGATGTAAGGTTTATCAAGCATGTTTGACGTTTTCCCTATTCCCTGACTTGTTCTGTCAGCTGCAACAACAATGCTCTGCTAGATCACTGACAATCATCAAAGACACCCAATGAGTTTCTGACTACTTTGCTTTTACTCCACAAACAGGAGGACCGTAATGGAACTAAAGAAACTGGAAGGAAATCGCACGTCGTGGCCGCGCCAATCGATTAACCGAAACCTTTTCAGAGTAATGAGAAATAGCGGTCGGTGGCCGCGTTTACGAGAGCGGATTGATTACTCACGCTTCTTCTCTCTTCCCCTTTCCCCCTCGGCTCTCCTCAGGTTTAACCAGCGCTGACACTGTGGTGAATATGCGGAAGGTCACTCATCAGACCATTACCGAGGAGCTGTCCAAGACGGTGCTGCTCCCCTGCCTCTTCACCCTTCGCCCCGGCGGCAGCTCTTTCCACGAGCCCCCCAGGATCAAATGGACCAAGGTTTGGGGTCAGAGAGGCTCCGACGGCCTGCAGAAGGAGCAGTCGGTCCTGGTGGCCAAAGACAACGTGGTCAAGGTGCAACAGTGACCAATAAAATATGAATCACTTCACTGGATATTAACTGTCTTCCTCCACAGTTATTATAATCTCTTCCTTTATTTTATTATTCACTGTTTCTCCACATTTCTCAGGTGAAAAAGGCCTTCCAGGGTCGTGTGTCGCTGCCTGGGTACAGTAAGGACCGCTACAACGCTAGCCTTGCTCTGACCGGGTTGCGGTCCAGCGACTCTGGACTTTATCGCTGTGAAGTTGTGGTGGGCATCAACGACGAGCAGGACACCGTTCCACTGGAGGTCACAGGTAAACAAAGTGTTATCTATATTTGAACAGTTGTTTGTAGGTTGCTGAGACCAAGAGGTTAAAATAAAAAGCTGCTCTCAGATACAACAGGACACTTTTATGAGATTGCTCTTTTCGCACTGGTCGGATCGAAAGGCTGGAATTTAAAAAGACAAACACACAAAAAAGTAAATTTCTTGTTTGACTGGACTTGAACTGGACATGTGCTTCTCAAAAAGTGCTTTGAGAGACATTTGTTCCAATTTGGCACCGATTTAATACAATTAATTATAAACGGAAAGAACTTCAAAAACTTCAAAAAGCGTGACAAGAAAAAACCGAGAAGCTTGGAAGCACACTGTGGTGCTCGTTCAGGACTTTTCAAGGATTTGTGAAACTGCATATAATTGTGACTATTTCCATTTGTTTTTACTTGTATAACTGTGTAAATTGTTTTTGGTAACACTTTATTTGACGGGGTATGTAATGCCTTTGTTGATCTGGAAATCCTATAGTACAGAACAAAACGGTCATGAGAAAAATCAAAGTCTTGAGGCTCATATCAGCTTCACTGTCATTTCCACTCAATTGCAGTTTAATCAGTTAAGCAAGTTCTCCTTCATGTATTTAATTTCATTTTCTTCTCTATCTAGTAACTTTACCTAAAAATAACTATCTACACATATCAAAGTGACTAGAATGTACTAATATCAAACACTAAGAATATTAGATTATAGAATATACTAAAACTTGAGTTTATTCTTATGAATAAAAAGAATAATCAATTCTGTATCCTAGCAGTTCGATTGACACCTTGCAAGGACTGAAAGGCTCTCTGAGCCTTTATTTGCTGCTGTTTGTAAGATTTTGCTTTCGAAATTAATTAGATGTCTCACATACAGTGGCTTGATCGATAAGACTGCCTTCAACAAGAGACACGGTGCTGATTTATGGCAGCTGTAATTTCTTTGGATATTTATAATTGCTTAATTGATTATTCATAATTACTCATCAACCCAGATACTCAGAGAGGATCAGTGAGGACTTTGCTGCGCATAACAATGGAGTAAAACGCTGCCTCGTTTTAAAGTACCTTCTTTGTTCAAAATAAACATTTCTGCACTTGCATCGACTTGGGCTGTGTTTATACAAGATCACCGCCTGGAAACCGTGGGAATTTTTGGATGATGGTTGGAGAAACGTTCCACGTTTAGACAAGACCACCTTGAGTCAGCTGTAGTTGTCATGCCAGGCCACTATATGGCGCTGTGATTTTAGCACGTTATCGAAACGCGCATGGGCTTATCTACCACCTCATTTAGAAAACGCATGTTTCCGTCTACTACGAGCCAAGTGTTTGTGGTTTTCCACTGAAGATCGACTCTGTGTAAACAGAGCCTTAGTTTTATTTATGGCTATACTAAATAAAGAGTTGGGTTTATTAAAATGCCAGTTTGAGGTACAACATCTTCAACTAACATTAGATTATCGATAGTACAGAGACCCTCCTCCAAATTATTGAGTTCGGTTGTTCCGATCACTTCCATGGCCACAGGTGCATAAAGGCATGCAGACTGCTCTTATAGCTGCAAGGCGGATTCAAATCTTTAAGCTCTTTAAGCCTATATATCAAGACTGGAATTTTATTAAAGTTCATTAATATATAAAGTCAGGCGTTCAGACCTTTGGGAGTACAGTGGACCCCGGCCTGTTTGCACTTCAGTATTCATGAATTCATTGATTTTTCTGTGGATTGAATTTTAACTGTTTCTATTATATTCTATTAACAGTTCACGAGCATCTGTGCTTCCTAAACCATGCAATTACCACATGCGCACTGGATCGTCTGCGTGATTATCTAAACATCTGACATTCTGTGTAATCTTGTAACATTTTTCTGCATTTTTTTTTCTCAGCGGTTCTCTGTGACGAGTATTTGAAACCACTGAGTATTTCCTGAGGAACCTTGGTTTCATCTGTAGAAAACATTCCTTATCAAAATCTCTGCTGCACTTGGTGGCGGCGTTAACACTTTGTTTTCCACGTCTGCAGCTATGAATACTAATAACTCTGTTTTCCATGTGAGGTTAATACAGCCGTTACAGTTGTTTACTGTCCCTGCTGAACGTGTGATGATGGGGAATGGTGAAAGGCACTTGGAAACATTAAACATTATCCCACCGAGCTGTTTAAGTACTAGTTCTTCACCTTTAGCTTTGTATGGTTCTTTGGAAACAAATTAGCTAGTAATAGCTTGGAGAGTTTCAAAGACTTTGTTAAGGTGTTGTAGCTTTAAAGCTGTCGCCACATTCTGTCCAGTTCACTCACGTTTATGTTTAATGGCAAGCTGCTATAATCACCAGAGCAACCGCACAACTTGGAGCAAACTGTGCCAGTATAAATATAGCTAGCACCAGCGCTAAATGCAGTGACCTTATTATTTTGGAGAGGCACAGCATGCTACAATAGCCACTGTTTTAAGTAACACAAACATCATTTTCTCCTTGTCCATAAATTACCCTTAAGGGAAAACGCGTGAACTACAATGCGGGGAAATCAGGCAATTGTGTCTTATCCGTTTTCCATTTTTCTAGGTTTTGTCTGCGGGACGTAGAGCCCAGTTCTCCCTTCTTAAATAGCAGCATCTTCATTAACCCTAATATGATGCTTTTGAGAGCCTGTGTCCTGCAACTCTTGGCCAATCACTGCCTCTTGTTCAGAATGAAACCGTTTATGAAGCCGGTGAGGAGCAACCGTCTCTGCGGTTTGGTCTTTATTGGCAAGTCCTGCGACGCGACAGCGCTCGACCCTTCTCGCTAATTCTGTTTAGGCATCAAATTGGTCATTTGCAAGTATTGATACTGCTCGGCCGTATCGTTTCATAATACTCCACACCACTCATTTCATGCTCAGAACTGTGTTTCATTTTTTAATCTTCACTTTCTTCTCCCACATATTCATTCTCTCTTATCCATTTTAGGTTTGTAAGTGGCTACATGCAGCTAACATAAGTCAAGAGGCAGAGATTATGTAACTCTGAAATGCTTTCTGAATATATTTGTACTACACTCCATAATAGTTTGAGTCGCTTTAAATACAACTCTAAACTATATACAGTTGTGTTTGCTATTATTTTTGAGTAGTAGTCCTCGTAGATGTGTTTAAAAAAAAAAGTTTAAAAATAATTTTGCACTGATGTTAAAAAAAGCGGTTTCCCCGTTGGGTCAGTTATTGGTGGGCTGGTGGAGAATCTGTTCACCACTATTCTCCATAACTGCTTATGAAACAAAATAATAATTATAATAATAAAAACAGAGTGGAGTGAAAGGAGAAAATGAGTGCAACAATGTTAAGAGGAAATTGTTGGTTGTAAGAAAATAGGCTCACATTCAGTCTCGTTTCTGTTTCCATTCCTCCAAATGATTAAATTGTTGTCAGTGTGGAAAAATGCAACTTTATTAGTAGAAATTTTGTTTTTGGACCTTTTTGGCAAACAGACATCTCACTTGAATTTCATGTTACGCTGTTTTTCTCATTTTTGGATAAATAGTAGACACTGATTGACTTGAAGCCGTTATGAAGCCGTCTGTATTAAAAAAAATCAATAACTTTGTAAATCTAAAGAAGCTTATTAGTAGTCACTTAGTATAACATTTTGTTTATTCTAATGTGGCACATTTAAATTTATTTTTATCTTAACGTAAATAGTTATTTAGTATTTGTTGAGCAGTAAATACAATCTATAATAATTCTTAGTTAAAAAGCAACAGCTCACTGCTTGTTGGAATAAATTATTTTAGTGATTAGAGATTCATATGTGCTCTCATTGTGATTTGTTTCATGACATATTGCATTAAAGTCTAGTCAATTTAATATCTAAGAATGATTTTTAGAAATAATGACATTATTTTCTTCTTTTAATTTTAAACTGGACTGTCTTTGTCATTCTCATAAAGTCATAAAGCTAAGAACGGGAAAAATATATATATATAAGTTGCTATGAGAATTAATGAGTTTTAAAGCTCCACATTTAAAAAAAAAATAACGTTATTAAGCAGGTCCTGTTTAATTTCCAGTTTTTATTCCGAGAATCAAGAGCAGTTTTGCCTCCTAACTCTTAGCAAGAAAGCAGATGAGCATATTTCATAGAGTTACGTCCTAAAATTAATGTTTTGGATCCAAGTTTCAGTCCTGTTGTTTCAGAGTCCTCTTGAATTGAAATTCTGTGTCTGCTTTTTCTGCTTTCACAAATTAATACAGTGTTTTGTTTTTTTTTTGTCTAACAATGACAGAGTTTGCCCAGAATGCTGCACCCTGCCAGGGGGGCAAAGAGTACCAGCTACTCACCATGCTGAAACGAGGGCATCATTCAGTCACATATGGTGCCTCTCTGCTCTTCCCCTTAGAGACCATGTGAGGATGTGCAAAGATGCTGAGAGTAAAAATAGACATAAGGTGCTGGGCATCCAGCCCTCCTGTGGAACAGGACAGGGTTTCCTCTTACTGAGAGGAAAGTTATTTGTCTCTCCTGCATACATATTAACGAGCAAACTAGCATCTCTTTTTGGACAAAGTCCCACAGCCTCAAATCAAAGGGATTGGAGGATGAAAATAAGGGCAAGAAAAAAAAAAGGAGATATTTCAGAGGGTTTATGCTCCATATAGCTAAGAGAAGGAGAATGACCGAAAAGCCAGACGGTCTGCAGAGACTGAGGAGAATTCTGTTTGCATCTTACGTTCAAAACACCGCTGCCAGCTTTTTTTCGCACTAAAGCCTGTAGTGTTATTCTTATACTTAAACGGCCTCTTCGGCATCCGTCTCACATGGAGTCTCTCACTTTCCCAGACAAAGTCATAGAGGATAAAGGAGGCAGAAGCACGCAAGCTTGCATGACACGGGCTGGTCCTCAGGGGCGTGTGAATGTCGGGCAGAGATTGGTAGATGGACGTGTGGACCTTTCACAGTTCAGCTGAGCTAGTTTCTTCTAGTCAATTTCATTTTCTCACCACCCTTTTTCAGCATTTGTGCGTACCCAGAAGCCTCGGTTCGCGCGCTGCGGTACAAGCTCCGACAATGGTACTTGGACTGCTTGTTATCATTCTTACTACAATTTAACGGTGTCATAGTTTTAAGAACAAGTAATCGCCTTATGTTATCTTTTTTTTTTAAAAGAACAGTTTGCCAATCAGCTTATACTTTAACAACTTTCATAATTAAACAGCTACGCTTCAGTAGCAAGTGTTGTGAGGCTCTCCTTCATTTTTCATGCCTTGAATGTTTGTGTGTGTGTGTTTTTTTTTTTTACTGAAAACACATTCAAAAAAACGATTTCTCTTTTTGATACTCATAACAAAAAAAAAACATAGGAGCCATCAGTGCAATCAACATGCATATGAGGTATAAATTATGACATACATTTTTAGCTATTTTGAAATCATACCATGTTTATTGTGAGACAACTCATGCTGATGTAGGAATACAATCAAAGCATAAAAACCTCTGCTTCGGTTCAAAGGTTAAAATTTGTGGGTTTTTCAAATGGATGTGCTCAGTATGACCAGACTAAATATGTATTTCTCTGATTTGTATTCACATATATGGTTGTATACAACGGTGCCTAAAAGATCAAACAAGATACTAATTACTAAAAGTCTGAATAAATTTTATTTTTCTTTTCACTCCAACTATCCCTATGTTTTATATGCAAGACGGCCATTTTGGTTTTCCAACCTGAAATTTAGATTTCTGACTGTGAAACTTTTAAGTTTGATAGTTTCATTTTAAGAGTAAAGCACTTTGTATTGCCTTGTTGCTGAAAATGTGCTATGCAAATAAAATTACCTTTACCTTTAAGAGAGCAGACTGCAACACTAATGTGATACTTGTCGTAAAAATGCTAAGGAGTCACTGCCTTTAAGAATTCCATGCACATAACTGCCGAAAGCTTTCCGTCTATGCATCTGACTTTAATATGCGACCTGACAGCGCTGTTGGTACCCGCATCCAGCAGCCGCTGAGTGACGGGGATTTTACACCCTGGCAGGAGTGCCAGTCTATAGAAAGCATTGTTGCTCCGTTTCTTTGTTTGCCTTGCCTGTCATTCCATCATGAACTTAGAAGCAGGGAAAATTCAGCACAGAGACTCTGTGTGTAGAGCTGAAGCAGTAAGATAAATATCCCCACTGCTTGTTACACACTGTATCCAAGGGCAACATATGTATTTCTTTTTTCTTTTTTCTTTTTTTTTTTTATTGAGCCGATCGACGACCTGATATAAATCAGACATGTACAGTACACGCAGGTTGCTGAACCCCAGCTCTGCCGGTTTGTCCTGCACAGATGGAACAATGTCAACACATGATGACTAGAGCTAGAGGGCTCCACTGTTTACCTCCGCGGATGAACGTGCTCGTGCTTTAATGGCACCAGGCTCCTGTTCATAAAACGTGCTGAGATTTTCAGGCCGTAAATTTGCGTTGTTTTCTCCCTGCTTGTTCCGGTGTCTTGTGTCTCGTCCATCAATCGATCCCTTTTATTTATAAAGCAGGTCAAAGTGCTACACAGAACTATAAACAATAAACCCACAAAATGAAATGTGCCTTTGTTAAAATGTGTGGAAAGTGGATGGACTGAGCGCGGATGATCCGGTTCAGGAACCGCAGCCAAAACATCAGCCACATCCTCTGTGGCACTCAGAGAGCATACTACTCCACAGATGGCTGTCACAATACTGGAGAGCAATATTTCCTTAGGTATTCTTGGGCCTGTTAATAGACCAATGCCCGAGGGTAGCGGGTCTGCAAGTAAATGATTGCCCAAGGCCATTAAGACCATTTAAAAGCCACTAAAAAGAAATTTAAAATACATTCTGAGATGTACAGGGAGCCAATGCAACAATTTTAACGGATTATCTTTGTTTATATCTCAGGTGTAGTGTTCCACTACCGGGCCCCTCACGATCGCTACGCCTTGTCCTTCGCTGATGCCAAGAGGGTGTGCATAGAGAACTCGGCCACCATTGCAACACCCGGCCAGTTGCAATCAACCTTCGCCGACGGCTATGAGAACTGTGACGCCGGCTGGCTGGCAGACCAGACTGTAAGGTGAGGCAAAAAGATTTCCTCTCCTGTGCAGAGTTTCAAAGTCTATGCAAATGGAATAGTAGGAAAAGAGGATTTAGGTGTTGTACATGTTTGTATAAGTATGGGGGAAAAAAAAAATACTCGAGTCTCTCTGCAGCATATCGTCTTTTTCTGTTATTTCTCCTTTGGCGAAAATGTAGCCAGGCATACGATTGTCTGGAATCCAAGTGGCAGAATAGAATGCTCTCCATGCACACTACAGCTATATCTGACTATCAGTTCAGTTGCAAGGCTTTCTGCAGTGAGTGAATATTTTAAGAACTTCTAAATAGCTTCACTTCTTGTCTTGTCAAAATATGTGAATTCTAAATTAAAACCGTGCAACAGAATTGAAACTGATTGCCTGTTTGATGACTGGAAAATGAGTTATTTACATCTACACCATTAGAGCTGCCTGTAAGGAGGATCGCATGTGCTTTATTTTTTTTTTTTACCTTTTTTTGTTAAATCCCCTGAAAAAAAAAAAACAAGAAAAAAAAAAAAAAAACCCCCAATCAGATCTTGTCTAATTCCCCGTATTCCCATTTTAATTCCAAATCACTGTTGCTTTGGCGGGCAGACACGCTGTTTGTTGTCCTCCTGACAGCTTCTCCTTGCAGTGACGCTTCTTTCTTCCCAGTTGCTCCTTCAGTCCTGCAGCCTTGCAGTTTTTTACTTGGTAGCCATCTAATTGGTCCAGATTCACGAGTTTCTGATGGCACATCAGCCACGAGGGAGGTGTCCAATTAATCCAAGAGGAAAAACACAAAGAAAGCCATTGTTGTTTGTTCAGCCACAAGCAGTAATAGAGCAGCAGAAGCCACAGACACCATATATATATATATATATATATATATATATATATATATATATATATATATATATATATATATATATATATGTTTGCACACACACGTGGAAAGACTTTATGTGCACACTGTATAATTTGACTCTATATGCTTTTTTTTTTTTTTTACAAGTCCCTGTATACCTATTGCAATCTTTTAATCATCTCCTATGTTGTGTCCCGGTGCTACCGAAATCAATCTTCTGGAGGAATAAGTGTAAAAGTTTGGCTCCAGTATGGATCGCCGTTTCTTTCTGCTGTTCAGGCATACCGAGTCGCTGCAGGAATTACTGATTGTTTTATCCTCTGCTTTGCTTCTCGCCTCTCCTTCTCTCACTGTTTCTCTGCTGCCGTCTTACAGAACATGTCGCAACATGAGAAACGGTTTAGGCATAACTTGAAAGTAAAATATAACTAAAAACAAAACAGTTAAAACGAGTTAAGGCAACCAGCACACATCCTGCTCTTGGCAGGACATAGCTTTTACTTTTCTCTCTGTGGTATTACTGTCAGGGTTGGGAATTTGAGTTTTTTTTTTTTTTCCTTGGGAAGATGTCTTTAAACTTACTGTATTCAGAGCAGAAAATGATAAAAGTGTTGCTGGGTTTTCATCTTCTACTCAGGAGCATGGACCCATCCCTGGGGGACTCGGTCTGTCTGCGGCTGCTTTTTTTCATGGCCAATCCATATAAATCTTGCTCTTTCTTCTTTAACTCTCTCTATGTTTGCTCCTTCCACTTGGTTTCCTCTGCAGGTACCCCATCCAGTCGCCTCGGCCCGGCTGCTATGGTGATCGGGAGGACTCGCCCGGTGTTCGTAACTATGGCAGCAGGGCTCCCGATGAGCTGTTTGATGTCTACTGCTTTGCAAAAAAACTTCAAGGTGAGAGTCGGGAAGCCATTAATTTGAGTTAATCCGAGCAGGTCTTTTGGTTCTGGTCTGCTTTCCCAGCCACAGAACCAGAACCAAGCATGGAGAAGTAGCATTCAGCTTCTATGCGCCATAAATCTGGAACAAACTTCAACTTCTAGAAAACTACAAAACAGCCAAATATTATAAATCGAGGGTAAAACCCACCTGTTTAGGGTTGACTTTGATTAATAACAACTGGGACATCATAAAGTGTAGTGTGTGTGTTTTTTTTTAAAAGTATGATTGTTTTCCTTTACTTGCCTCTGCAATGTAATGAGGTTTGTCCTCGTGTTTGTGGTTTTCCTTCTAATCATGTAAAAGTAATTTGAATCGCCTAAATATTGCGTTAATATAAGATTCAGTACTTATAATTGTCCATGTAAACCTACACTAGAGGATTACTGATTCCTAACTAAACAGTGGTCTCCTAAAGGAAGCATAGCGTTTCTTTCATTGTGCGATTTCCAATCTCCAGTTTCCAGAACTACTAAACGGTATCACTTCTGCAGTGTAGTTACAGCTCCAGATCAAATTACTCTTGCTCACAAGTCAGTGTGTTCCTGTTTTAATAAGAGAAGTGGTCAGATACAAAGCAAAGTGGTCAGATACAAAGCAAAAACATAAAACGACGTCGAAGCCAAAGTGACCATTACCGACTGAAGTCTAACTCTACATCGCCTGAATATGCAGCTATTTATTTTCCTCTGTAAATGCTTCTTACACTTTTTGTAACATCTAACATCTTCCCCGCTTTAGAAATTTTACCAGTGTTATTGTTATGCAGCCTATTAGTGTTCAGTGCCTTCACTAATTAGGAAAATTGTCTTGGCTTATGCTGAAAGCTGCAGCAATGATCCACTGAGTGGGAAAAGATTCCCCTTGAAATGACTAACCGATTGACGGCTCTAAAATACTGTTTGGTTTTCAGTACAACTGGAGGCCTTTATGTTCATTTCTGAACAACTTCACAATATTTTGCTAAACGTTACACAGGAGAGTTTTTAGTAACCCTCTATTTATTTTCTTCTCATATGGCTTTACTGTTAAATCTGGGCTACATGATTCATTTCTCCCCTTTTTCCTCCTGCTTAACATAATTTAAAGTTGGCATAGAGAACGGTATTGCAGATTCTCCCTACTGTAAACATCGATATTTGCACAGCAATTTGAGTTGTACTGTTCATGGGAGGAGAAGCTACGGCACCTTCATTATTTCCCTTTCGAGTCAATAGTTGCAGTTAAAAAAAAAAAATTAAAAAAGTTACAGCTACCGCTTAGAGCGTACTATTTTTCTTCCTGAGTCGCTGCTTAAACTCCTCCCTTGTGTAATGTTCGTTCCAGAGGGGAAAACTCCACCAAAATAAATACATCCCCCTGCTGCAGGTGTTTTGTTTTGTCTCCTTATTCTCTGGTTTGTGGTTAGTCTTACATTCCCATTCTCCTTCCTCCTCCTGTTCCTCCACCAGCAGCTTCTCAACTGTTTTTTTTTTATTTTTATTTTTTTTTTACCATTTTTCCCCCAGAATCACGCAGTGAAATAGTTCTGCTCAAACCCGTCTGTGAAGTAATTCCTTCAAACATTTTCAGACTTCAATGAATTCGAACTTAGCCGTGTGTATTACAACTGTAAACAGCATTTTAGCTGCTAAAATCCAGCGTTGGAGGTTTAGTTTTGCTCGCTTCTCTGCGAGATGTAGTGCAAGCCTTTTTCCAACGTCTTCATTAATTTTGCACAACGCACAAAACTTCCTGTCACTGTAAACTGCATTTGCATTCTCAGAAGCTCGACACTCGCAGCAGTAAATATCTTTTTCTCGCAAACAGGTATTTACAAAGTTTCAGATGTGTTATAAATTTTAAATGGGTCTATTAGGTGTAACAAACTCTGAAGATAATGAGAAGCAAGATCGATTTACACTTATTTTTTCTTACATTAGACTCTGAACGCTTCGGGAGTTCAGACTTTGCAAATATTTGTATTTTTTTGAAAACCTCAGGGGAAATGATCACAGTGTTGGCACACAAAAAGTTTGGCACAAAAACAAGGACAGAATTACTCATTTGTCACGAGGCGTTCATGTTATTAACTGGTTAAATCTGCTGAAGTGACCAGCCCACAGTTTATCCTCTGACACTTATAATTTATCAGCTGTACTTTTGAAAACAGTCTTAGTTTAATGGTCCTGCTCTTTTAATGTTTTCACCAGAACTGTTTTCCATGATTTTAAATATTGAGGAAAAAAAAAAAAAATAATAAAAAATAGTAGCCCTCAAGTTTGCCTGGCTGAGCGCCACAACAGGTGGAGGATGGCCACTGCCTTTCTCACTTCTCTAAAGAGAACTGTGAGAAAACCAGTTCTCTGCCAAAAGCAATTTAAACCATAAACAGTGGAGTTTTAAAATATTCTCAGAGTACTTTATCTGCAACCCGTTTCTGATCCATATAACAGTCTGCACGGACCTGAGTGAGCCATCAGTGCTAATTTTGAAAGACCATATAATAACCCAGCACATAATCCACCTCGATATTTTATTTAATTTTAGTCGCCAGACTGAAATTAGATGCTTGCTGTACTTTAATGACCTCCCCCGTCGTACTCCGGAGAACAACTAATACAGCAGCAGGCTTTTAAAACCACGGCCTGACCTTCTCAGTGGGTGAGCTTATTTGGGTCGTTTATTATGAGGCGGTTCAGCCGCAGGTATCATCAAATGTAATGGAGAAAGGTCAGACTTTTCTAAAGCTATTTACGCTTTATTTATATGTAGAATGCCACCGAGATGCTACGGAGGCAAAGGTTGACTGATTCAATTAATTTTTTTTTTTTTTTTTTTTTTTCTTCAATAAATGACTCAGTAGAACATTGTGAAAAAGTATGCATCCATCTATTTGATTATATCTACTGAATTTTGAAGGGTTGCTGGAGCCTGGTGCTTAAACCTGGAGGTAAAAGGCCAAAAGGCGAGCTGCATCCTGGATAGGCTGCCTAGCCCATTACAGAGCAACACAGAAACACACAAGACAACCAACCGAGGACGCATGCTCACTCTCAAAACGAAGGTCACGATTGAGAGACGAATTAACCAAACAGTCATGCTTTTTCACATGGAGTGTGTAATCCATTTCACAAATCCTGAGGTTTTTCAAAGTTGTTGTGTTTTTCTCTGCAGCCTTTTTTTTCTTTCTTCTTAGATTTAGGCATTATTTTCATATCTGCAGACATAACATTCTCGTTTTCTTGCCTATTTTCATCAATAATGGCAACTATTTCTAACAGTTAGTCTCCTTTTTAATTGGTTCTCCGTCATTTCATTTCACTTTGTCTTGATTCGAGCCGAAGACAAAATTGCATTTTTAACCGTATTGACTCAAATTTCTTCCTGCTTAAAAGATACTTGATTTTAAGAAACGTGAAAAGAAGGCAAAAGCTGGTGCTGCTTTCATGACTTAAATTTATGTTTTTTCATCATAAAACAACAAGAAGCTACAGACTCAAATGTATTTATAAAGCTAAACCAACCATGAAGCCTGTCGAAAACGTCTCCGCCTCCAGGTGAAGTGTTCCACTCCACGGTGCCAGAGAAACTGAGTCTGGCCGCCGCCTCCACCCACTGCCACTCTCTGGGAGCCCAGCTGGCCACCGTCGGGCAGCTCTACTTGGCTTGGCAGGCCGGTCTTGACCAGTGCGATCCTGGCTGGCTGGCCGACGGCAGCGTCCGTTACCCCATCAACGTCCCACGGAAAAACTGTGGCGGAGACGAGCCCGGGGTGCGGACGGTCTACAACAACCCGAACCGCACCGGCTTCCCAGACACCACCGCCCTCTTCGACGCCTTCTGCTACAGAGGTACCGAGAGCTCTCTGGTGTCTGATAAAAGTCAGTGTAAAATTGTTTTGGTAATTTGCCATAGCAACAACTGCGAGGTCTCGGGACTTGCTTTTCCATTCAGATTTTTAATTAGCACTAAGTGTGTGTGTGTGTCACACATGAAAGAGTTGGAGGAAGTCTGTGACATTTGTGTTCCTCCTGGTGGATTTGAGAGCTGGTGTGTCGGGTGCAGAGGAGGCTGAGAGGCAGATGAAAAGAGGAAGAGGCGAGAACAAAGAACATTGATTATTTTGGCCGACGACGTCGTTTCATCATGAGTCAGACGAAAGTTGAGGGATTTACAGAAAAAAACTATCCACACCTTTTGAGCTGGTCCATAATTTGTCATGTTATAACCGCATCAATGCATATTTATGTGTTAGAATGGACCAGACAAAGTACAGAACTAAATTTAATAGAATGTTCTTGGCAATAATTGAAAAATGGATAAATTCAACGGTAAGACTTCATCTGTTCAGCTATGCTTTGCCATCCAGTCTGATGGAGATTAAGTTATTTTACAAACAAGAATAGGTAAAAGTGTAAGTTTCTAAAACATGTATTCTTTTCCATCACCTTTTTCAAATACGTGCTACTTTATGTAATCTGAAACTCAAAATCCGCCCGAAGTCGCCGTTTGTGGTTATGATGTGACAAAGTTGCAAGTTGATCCAAGTGCACTTTGGCTGGGCCACTGATTTATTGCTTCTAATTTTCTGGCTTCATATCGGTTTGTCATCTTGCGGCGACTGTGAAATGTACCGGCTTCATTTTCGAGACTGACAGTGCCATAGATGAAGAAAAATGTCAGTTTCATCTTTCAAAGTGTCATCGCCAAAGTGAACCATTTGCATTACCTCAAATCGCTTTAAGTGAGCAAGAGCGGGCGTGGAAACAGAGCGGCTGAGAATCTGTCAAAACAAACATATGATGGATGAGTCCCTCTGCACGTTTGCATTAATATTCGACGCAAATCATGCCTGCTAAAGTGAGATGTTAAATCGTAATGTGATTTGTTTGACAACAATTTTTACTTACACGAATCTCATTAAGACCCATTTATATTTGTTGGTTTAAAATGACAGGAGCTTGTTTGGGAAAATCAGAACCTCGAACAGACTTGTCATTTTTCATGTTTTGCATTCTCTCCAGCACTGATTGTAATGACAGGTGTTGTGCAGCTGCAGATAAAGCAAGTGAAGCGAAATGTGAATGTCGTGTGTTGCAGCCCAACAGCCAGCGGCGATCCAGGCTTCTGAGGCGAAGGCTTCGTTCCAGCCTCGGAGGCCGGCATCGGAGGCCTCGTCTTTAGTCGCCGAAGCCCAGAGACGGGGCCCCTCCGTCCGAACGTCCGTCTGGGCTGACTGGTTTTCCTTAAACAACACCGTAAGCCCCTCACTTAGTAAAAACGACGAGTCGTCCGAGACGTCCGAAGAGCATGATTTAATCGACTTGAAGCCGGAGGAGAAGTGGGATGAAAGACACAATGGATCCACGATCGGCCCGATGGATCCGGACGCTTCTGACGGAGCTGGCAGCAACGTCACTTCCGGCTTCCCAGACCTCGAAAATGCAGAGAGCCGTGTGGTTTCAGCTCATGAGGACCCGGACCACAGTTATCTTGGATCAGACGCGCAAGTGTTACCCCCCGTTGCCTCTTCCACCCCCCAGCCTCAGGCAAGTTACAGTCTTCTCACTGAATTTGTTAACACTCTCATGAGGCCCTTTAAGTTCTGGACAGGGAGCAAAGGGACTGACAAGACAGAGAGGGGACCCACACTGCCTGAGGAAAAAGCTACAGAGAACCAAACACAGGGAGAGGTGTTCGGCGAAAGTCTGAGCATTCCTAAACCTGGCGGAAACAAGGGCAGTATGGACAATGCCATCCTGGAGCACAGAAGTGGCACTTTCCCCCTCAGGGGTCCCGAAAGCGGACTACAGAATTCAGGAAAGGGGCTGTCGGAGCAGGAAAAAGAGCTGATGCCTCTCATTAACCTGGTGCCTTCGATCCAAAATGCCGTGCAAAAGCCCAGCGGCGCTCACCCTGTGGACGGAGGAACCGGCTCGATCAATGACAACCTGCAATCCACGCTCAACGGTAAGACCTCATCTGTGATTTTCACACGTCCGATATGAACTTACTGCAACCCCAAAAGCAATGCTGTTTCGTTTGCAGTTCAAGCCGAAACAGACCCTGTTTGGCTTTGAATGGAAGCGTGGTGCATTTAAATGCTGCTGGTAAATACAGGATCTATTTATGTCGCCCCTTTTCAAACAGCCTCAGCCTCTGCGCTACACTTTCAATCCTTTGCCCTCGAGGATCCTGTAATATATTCCTCCGCAGGGCAATTTGAGGCGTCGCGTGAAATTTAATTAAACTGTAATTGCAAACAAACAAAAGGGAGGCGTCATGTACTGTATAGAAAGCTATCGGCGGCACTTTGTTTGCCGTACAAGCCTGGCGAGCTCGAATCCCTCTCACTCAAAACAAAGCCGACCTGCATCCAAACTTGCGGCTCATTCCTGGGAGTCAAAGATGCATCGGGCTTAAAAGATTAAATGCAGTGAATAAATTAAATGAAAAGAAAACAAAAAACTGAATTTTGGTCTTTGTTAACCAAAAACACAAGAAGGCCTTTGTTTGAGGAATGTGTGGATAGAAAAGGGCAACAGTTTATTAAAAATCCTAATTTTAGCAGACTTACTGCATCTTTACTGGGAGTTAATGTGAGAGGGGAAAAACATATTTTTCCCATTTCCTGAACAGTGTGTATTGGATATCTATTCAGTGTGGTGCAAATACAGCTGCACGTTTCCTAGAGTGTTTCTCTACCAGCTTTTCTCTTGTTGAGACTGAAATTACTGCCCGTTCTTCTTGCAAAAATAGCTCAAAGTCAACCAGACCAAATGAAGGATGTCTGGGATCATTAAGGTTCAAGTCATGCCACAAATTCTCAAAGTAAAGGGTTGTTCTGCTGGAAGGTGAAACCCTGTCTGAGTGGGGCTTTTTTTTTCTCTCTCCCAGTGTTTAATAGGCTTTCTTCCAGAATTGTTCTACATTAAGCTCCATTCATCTTCCTATAAACTCTCACCAGGTTCCCTGTCCTTGCAGAAGAAAGGAGTCCTCACAGCATGTTGCTGTCTACCACATGTTTTATGATGACTGAGGTCTTTTCAGGTTTTCTACCACATACAGAGTCAAAAAGTTACATTTCGGGCTTCTTCAGACCATCACCTAAATATCTACAACTTGACTTTGCAGAGCAGATTTCTGATGATCTCCTTTCAATAATTAAAAAAAATAAAAAATAATTAATTCCACAAACGTCGCGTTGTGGAGTGTTTCGAACTGATTTTCCCCACCATAGCAATGGATATCTGCAGCTCCACGAGTCTCTGATTAATGTTTTCCTTTTCTGACCCATAAGTCTAAATGGGTGGCCACGTCTTGATAGGTTGTGCCACTCTTTTCATTTTCGAAGATGAGAAAAGAAACGGGGCTTCCAAGCTTTAGATGTTGCTCTAAATCCTACTCCTGCTGTAAACTGTTCTTCTGGCATGTCCGCCATGTTCCTTGGTCTTCATGACTCTGCTTGTTCCAAGATGTTTTCTAACGACGTCAGTAAACAGCTGCAGATAATCTGGGATTAAATTACAGACAAACGGATTCTGTTTACTGTTCAGATGGCTCCCAGAGACACCTGGTTGCACTGGCTTTTATTTATGAGGATTAGAGTAAAAGGGTGTGAATAAATATGCATACCACACATTATTTCTGAAATCTAAATCATGCAGAATTTCAAACCCAAAGCTGAGAAAAACAATCTAATTAAATTTTAGGTTAAAAACGACGATTAAGAGGTATAATTACTTCTCTAAGGCACCGTGCATGCTAGAAGATTCCTAAACTGAAAACTAACCAAGCAATACGTCTGCTGTAATAGTCTGGGGAGACACACAAAAGCTGTAGAGGAAGGTGTAGCGAAGGGAGGCAGCTCTGCTTCTAATAGCCATGACAAAAGGAGAGGACAGACAGTAAGGCAAACACTCTCACACAGACAGCTAGAAGAATTATTCAATAAGCGCTCTGCTTTTCTCACCTTACAGTTCCCGGCTTTATTAATATAAATACTCACCGCTGTGCTACCTGAAATCCCCTGGCAACTCCATATCAAGGTATTAACGAAAACTCAAGCTTTAGTCGTCATGCATTATTTACTGCCTTATCCAATTAACGCAGAGGCAGGCCTGCGCCTCCGCTCGCTCCAATCTCCATCTACGTCTCAGCCAATTAAGGGCCCGGCTCCTCTGAAGGTAGACGCTAATGATCACAGTAGAGGGTGGGGAACAAACAAGACCGCAGCAAGGAATCGGGGGTGGGGTGGAAGAGAAAGATGGAGAAAAGACGGTGAGGTGAAGAGTTTTCTCTCTCTCTCTGTCTCTCTCTCTCTCTGTCTCTCTCTCTCTGAAGCTGCTGTGATGGGAAACTGCCAGGCTTAGGCTCCTTCCTATGGACTCATCAGAGGGTCTGCCACAGCACACTGCAGGATGTCTGCTGGATCACAGCGGTCCTTTGCAATTAAAAGTGACGTTGAGTTTTTGTTTAAGGAGAACGCTTTGCTTTGCTTTGCTTTGCTTTGCCGTGGATGCGATGCATTCTGGTGAAACGTTCATTGCTAAAGCGTTGAGGTTGTTGCCAACTACTGGCACAAAATAGGTATTGTTGATATTTGATTTGCTGCAATATTAAAAACTGCATTAAAAAAAACCTGAGATTCCTCTGAGTGGAATCATTTCAGCCAAATAAATAGCATCTTCATGGCAGAAAAAAAAACTGTATACACTTTTCATTGTTGTTGCTACAATAGCGGTGTAATAATAAGTCAAAACTGAAAACAATGTAAATGAAAACAACAGACTGAACAAAAGAAAAGATATTGAACAAAATATAATTTGCTTTTTAGCTGAATCTTTTACCCGATGGGAGGAGCTCAAATTTTCAACACGTTCAATGGGATCATGGGAGACGATTCGATCTCTAGGAGCCAAAGGCCAAATTTGAGATGTCAGATTCCTAGTTAAGTTTCTTTTAAGTTATGTTAGCTATATATTGCAATTTTCTAAGAAATAGTTACTTGATTATGTTATAAAATGCCACTATGTGCCTGGAAAATATATGATGCCACCCATTTGAAAAGCACTCTGCAGACTTTCACAATCACATGACTGTCTCGCTCTGGAGACATTCGATTGGCGATGTCTAGGTTAGGATGACTTTCTAGAAACTATCCACTGATTATATTTGGACAGCTTTGACAACCAGATGAATTCACAATGAAGGGAAAGCAACTTGTGGTAAATTCTCTCTTTTGTCATAAACCAGACTTATTATTCAAAAAGCAGATTTGGAAATTACTTTTAATTCAACATATTCTCCATTTGGGTATTCTTAGCACCCTCAAATTGAAAAAGATTATCTTGCAGGCTAACAAACAATTTTTTTCAGTCTGTAAGTTATGTTTTTTTGTTTTTTTTTACAATTATTTGATTCTATTAATTCCACATTATCCCTTTAAAAAACACACACACACACACACACACACACACACACACACACACACACACACACACACACACACACACACGTTTGCGTGGCTATCTTTGTGGGGACTTTCCATTGACTTCCATTCATTTCTACAGCCTAAACCTTACCTTTACCCTTTTCCTAACCCTAACCATCACATACCTAACCCTAACCAAATCTCAATTCATACCTTAGCCCTAAATCTGACCCCTGACCCAAAAACAGAGTTTCCCCTTGTGGGGAGCAGGCTCACATCCTCACAAGAGCAATTGGTCCCCACAACGTAGTATATGTCAGGAAAATCGTCCCCACAAGGGATTACAAACAAACACATCAACACACAGCAAATGAGAGCCTATACCTAAACGTAATTTCATCTACTGCTCTCAGTCCCTGTGGAGTGTTTTACTCCAAACAGCCTCTCGCTGATATACAGTTACCTGCAGCGGTGGAGGCTGTACGGAAACAAACAGGAGCGTTTGCAACACGGTAGTCAAATAATTAGCTCTGTGACCAGCTCCATCTGGGGTCATTTTATTTAGATTAAGTGGTCCACTGTACCTTATCAGCTTACAAGCTTTAAACTTGACTCCGTCAACACAATCAATAATTCATTCTGTCTGCATGAGTGAGTCATGGCTGGTATGAGGTGGCTTTTTTTCTTTTTTTTTTTTTTTAGGGCAGCGCTGCAGCTGCATCCATGAGGGGGCCGGTGCATGCATACAGCATTAATCTTCACTCAACTCTGTCTCCGGCTTGCCTAACTTGTCCTAAAAGTGCGGCGGCACAACAAATTACAGCACGAGCCAGAACATACACAGAGATGTCCATGCATAAAACATTAAACTGGACGTAAATTATTCAGAAGGTGCTCCTTTGCCTTATGCCTAAGTGAGGTTTATGAGTTGCGGGTTCATTACCATAAGAGCCTTGTAGCCAGACATAATTGTCCTATTAATAATCCAAATAGGTAATTACATAGTTTTACTTTGCACGCTGATGGAAGTGGGAATAATTAAACACATTAATCTGGTTTGATCATCTACATAATGACCCATGTAATAAATAAAATGTGACGATTAGGTGTAGGTTCGGGTGATTTCACGGCAGCATTTAGAGCACCGCTTAAGTTCGTCTGTGCTGCTGTAAATCTGTCGGCAGCAGACTAAGAAGAAAGGGAGGAAAAAAAATCGACCCGGAGCAGAAACGCTGCAAAACAAACTTATAATAAGCCCCTTTCAGGCTGTAATTGCGTGCTTCCAACTGTAAGTGCTTCTGCCTCGGCTGCGTTCACTCCACTTCACCAGGGTAAGCGGGCTGCAAGAATCTCCTGGGTCAGGCAGACATGATATTAAATTGCGAGAGTGGAGCCTGACAAAGGGAAGAAGGAAAAGGGGAGCTGGAAACATCGTACCATCTACAGATACGGCGTCTAATAAAATACACTGAGGACTTATTGCAGGGCTCTATGAACCATGTCAGGAGCGTCTACATTACATTTTTAAACCCAACCAGTTCAGGCTCAGGGGTGACTGGGCTGATGTGAGACGTATATTCTATATGTATGTATGTCTCTGTGTGTGTGTGTGTGTGTGTGTGTGTGTGTGTGTGTGTGCGCGCGCGCGTGCTCTCCCTATGCATTGCTATGGCAGGCACGTATTGTTCTACACCCAATAGAATGTCTCTTTATTATTATAGTTTATTTATTTTTCTTCCGTCACGTTAATGCGGCCCGTACCGCTGTGTGCACCCCCATAAAAGTGGTATCAAAACGTTCAGCTTGATCCTGAGAAGGGAGCTTTACTTTTAGGGGGATTCTGAGTTAAAATTACGACATAAATTGATAAAAACGAGAAAAATCGAGGCTGAGTGTCTCACAGAATCGGTAATCTTTCTCTCTGAAACACACACAGCACAGTTTCTTTCTGACTCCAAAACTCTTTTAACTTCCCCTCACAGGCACAAATATCACCCTATTGGTCTAAAAGTCGGTCATGACATAGATACACATGCCTGCTCGTGTAAAATGTTTTCAAAATTTTGCTAGGGCTTATGTTTTTTTGTCAGGGTCCTTGAGACCGACACTGGGTGTCTCACAAGTATAGAAACTCTGTCTCCACCATACTGTCTGACAGAGAGAGCCAGCCCAGGTAAAGATAATTAATTAGCAACGGAGCCCAGAGAGAGGCAGTGAGTTGTCTCACAAACAGGCGCAGTGACAGGTCTCACAATGTATTGTGGGAAGAATACACATTTCTTGTGACTATTCATATTTTGCTTACATAAAATTATTTCTCTGAATTTTTGAGTGCGAATTAAAATCCTTAGTATGAAGGTTTAAAAATTTCGAGACAAACAATTACCCACTGACTTTATTTTTTTTATTTCGGACCGTGAGTAAGAACCACATGTGTGAAGCTTATAGTTGTCAGTCTCGGACTGAATTTCTTTGTGCTTGAAGATTGCTGATTGTACTGTTGTAGGAAGCTGTGTCAGCTATACCACTGGTTCTTAAACTTTTTTGAGGTACTGAACCCACCAGTTTTATATGTGCCTTCACTGAACCCTTCTGTAGTGATGAACGAAGTAAGTTCTTTCCTCCAAATTCAAGACAAGGGGGTGAACCAACTGCACTCCAATTGGGTAATCACTAAGTCTTTTTAAAAGGTAGAGTCTCTGAGAACAGTTGTTCAAAATATAGTCAGTGTTTTCAGCAAAGTTGGGCTGACTGTCCAGGAATGACCCAAGGTATTTAAAATCGATCGAACCCAGGTTAAGAACCACTGCACTATGGTGATGGACCTGGCAAAAGATTCAGTTGTTGCACTTTGGTGATTAACCATATCAACACATAAGTATTGCACATGTGCTTCTGGCAAGTTTTCTAGGGGAAATCTTGAATTTATAATTTTTAGAATTGGGGCCTGCCATAGCAATAGGCAGACACCTATTGTTCTACACCTCAAAATAACTGCCTCTTCCTAGTACCGTTAATGCAGCTCGTACCGCTGCGTGCCCACTTCACAATATATACATCAAAACGTGCAGCTCGATCCCGTGAGGGGAGCTATTGCTTTTGTTGGCATTTCGAGTAACTGTGGCGACATAATTAACACAAAACGAGCCAAATTCCACTCAAAGCAGGGCCGTGCAGAGACCACTAAAGGGGCAGGTGCTCAAAAAAAAGGGCATGTCTAACCGCATTCTAGGACAGAATATTAACTCAGCTTTCAGAGTTTAATAAACAATGATAATTTACAAAATTGTGAGATATACAATCAAAGCTAAGGAAAATCTCTATATAGAGCATACAACCAGTGGCGCAACTGCACATTATTCAGGTGGATGCGAAAATATAGACATGAATGTTAGGTTAATTGGCCTCTCCAAATTGCCCCTAGGTGTGAATGTGTGTCTCTGTGTTGCCTGGCGACCTGTCCGGGGTGTACCCTAATGTCTGTATGATAAAAATACTGAATCGATAGATAAGAACAGTTTTTCCTCACCTGGCTGTCTCCTCCCGCTCAGTAGTTCTTCAGAGAAAAAACTACTGAAAACCAAAGACGTTTTTTTCAATTCACCAAAAACTGTTCTGTAATCTGGAACGTTCGCTACGTTCAGCTCCAGTTATAACCACCTTATCTCGCTGCGCGAGAGGCAACTGCGTCACGGGCAAAAAGTCAAAGGTAACAAGGTGACCGGAGGGCTTATGTTTTTACAAAAAATAAATAAATAAATAAATAAATAATAATAATAATAATAATAATAATAATAATCGTTTCTGGAGATGTTGCTATAAACTCATTGCATCTCTGAATAGTGCTGTTTATGTTATATCATCTAGTAGTGAGAAAAAGTAACAAAAAAACTATTATGCTGTGTACTTAAGATGGAATATATGCACATATATTCATGACATGCTTTGATTAAAGTAATTTATCCTCGGTGCAGTTCCAGTACCGAAAAATTAACTTTACACCAGTTGAGTCTCTCACCTGAGAATGTGAACCTACTGTGCTGATTCTGTGCCTTCAAATAATTTTAATGCGCCTGTAGAAGATTCATAACTTAAAAGTTACAGGAACCTACAAGTTAACTTATAAGGAACAGGTCTGAAAAAACAGTCTGTGTGCTACACTCAAGAGAGAGATTCCTTTGATGCATCAATGACATCATCACTGATGATGTCATTATTACCATAGGAATTAAACATTCTAATGGTACATTCATTCACACCAAACATGTTTTGAACGTCAGGCAGGCGAGTCTGCTTTACATTCAAAGTCTATGTGAAGTATTTGATGCGCTGGACACGTCAAACGGTTCAAATGGCGCCGCGCTAGACGCTCGAAGAGCGCTGCAACGGCCCTCAACACGCCTCCACATAGAGTTTGAATGTAAACCAGATGCGCCTGACGGTCAAAATGTGTTTGGTGTGAGCGCACCATTATATGTCCAGTGTCATATTAGGTCCACCATATTAGGACCAAAGATTTGTCCTAATATGATGGATTCATTGCTTTGGGTCAGGGGTAATGTTTAGAGGTAAGATGTGAATTAAGGTTTAGTTAATGTTAGGAATAGACTAGTATTGGTTTGGGTAAGGGAAAATGTCTGGGTTAGGCAAAATCGCAGCTACTAGAATAAAGGGAAATCAATGCAAAGTTCTAATATGGGTCGAAATAGTTTTGACAAGCCTGTATAGAATTTTGTTTTCTAAATCATTCTATAAATGATGATATAATGTTAGGATGTTTTTCTGCCAATTGCATAGCTGCAGTACACTACATAGTAGTTGAATGTGCTGAGACACATTCAACACATTAGAAACCAATCAGAACCAAAAGTTTCCCTTTTGGTTCTGATTGATTGTTTCTGCACAGTAGCAGAGCCAAATGAATTTTCACAAATTCTCTGTTTCGTATTCTATTGTCAACTGTTTAACAAATATTCATCCATCATCTAACATACATAGGAAGGTTAGATGATGGATGAATATTATATAAAATAAAGTGTTTGAGGCTTTGCCAAATTTGTGCAAAGCCTCAGATTTTCATAATGCAAAGTGTTAGCAAAACCAGGGCTTGGATAGTAACCTAGGTTAGTGCCACCTGGGTGTGGGTCGGTGTAAAGGCCGTGCCGGGCTTAGCTTGGCCTTCATGCCAACGCCAACATGAAGACCCTCCATGCAACCAGTGGAGGTTGATCGCATGGATGTCTGTCTTTCCTCGGACCTCCATGTTTGTGTGGAGGTTTGGCTTTGCGTGGACTCCTCTGTTTGCAACCTGAGTGTGGGTTGGCGCAAAGGCTGAGCCAGGCTATGCATGGAGACCCCTCGTTGATTCAAGGTCTGTCTTTCTTCAGACCTCCCTGGTTGATTGGAGGTCTGTCGTTCCTTGGACCTCCCTGGTTGATTGGAGGTCCGTCTTTCCTCGGACCTCCCTGGTTGATTGGAGGTCTGTCTTTCTTCGGACCTCCCTGGTTGATTGGAGGTCTGTCTTTCTTCGAACCTCCCTGGTTGACTGGAGGTCCGTCTTTCCTCGGACCTCCCTGGTTGATTGGAGGCCCATATTTCCTCGGACCTCTCTGGTTGATTCAAGGTCTGTCTTTCTTCAGACCTCCCTGGTTGATTGGAGGTCTGTCTTTCTTCAGACCTCCCTGGTTGATTGGAGGTCCATCTTTCTTTAGACCTCACTGGTTGATTGGAGGTCTGTCTATCCTTGGTCTCCTCTGTTTGTAGGGAGCCTTGTCTTTGCAGGGGGACCTCTGGTCGGGTGGAGCATCTAGGATGGTTGTTTTCTAGAGCAAGTTTCAACTCCACCTTCAGGTCTGCAACCTGACCCTGCAGAGCTTTCACTGTTTCCTCCTGAGCCTTAAATTTGGAAGCTTGCTCAGAGTGACTTTTGAGCTGCTCCTCATATTTGAGTCTCACTCTGTATTCCTCAACCATTACTTCAATCAGACCTTTGTTGCGGGAGGCGTATTTTGCAGCCTCCCATTTGAAGTACTCCAGCTGTTGAAGAACGTTCTTGTCAGTTGTAACTTTGGAAGAGCAAGAAACCTGTTCACGTTTGACTTGCAGGTGACGTTCTTTTTCCAACATTTTTTGCAGTCTTTGAATCTCCTCCTGCTGGGATTTGACTTCAGCCTGACATGCAATCCTTCTGTCTCTTTCCTCATGGAGTTCAAAATTCATTTTCTGCAGTTCTGTTTTAAGATCGTCTACCTGCTTTGTCAAATCTTTGACGTGTTGGCTAGTCTCTGCCACGTCTTCCACTGAGGGGGTGATCTTGAAGCCAGCAGAGGATGTTGTTTCCTGCTTGACTTCCAATGATCTTGGACTCTCAAAGTCGCCGGAAGGACTTGATTCCCCCTGGATCTTTGATTCATCTTCCGGCTCAATGGGGCTGTCATCTTCAACAGGGAAAATGACAGCGTCGTAGTCGACTTGGATGTTGAGGTCTACCATGTCGACCCATGAAAGCTTAGCTGGAAAAGCTTCATGTTCGCAAACAATCTGTTGCTGCTTCATATCTATATCGTAGTAACTTCTTGCTTCTCTGAACGTCGAACGTGCTCTGAAGGGTGATCTGTCGCGATAGAACTGTGGAACGGATCAGAGAAAACTCTGTCTGTGAGCTACATTCAAGAGAGAGATTCCCTTGTGATATCATAGAGTGATGACATCACTGCACAAACATTAGCATTTCACTGCTCCCCATTAGCATTAGCCTTTTCCCTAAAAATAGCTTTTATCTATTTTTCTTATTTATTAGTCACACTTAGTACACTGAATGGAGGAAGAAAATGTAAAACAACATGCTAGCGACAGCATTTAGGCTAATGTTAGCAATTTGGCTCATTTTAACTTGTACACTAATTTTAACATACAGAATGGAGTAAGTCCATGTTACTCAACATGTTTGTGACTCTCCACATGCTATTGAGTACATTGCAGCTTACTTTAGCATTGATGCTAATTTGTAGCATCAGACAGGCACACTTTGGTAGGCCCCATTTAAATTTCTTCAGAAATGTTCTAGTATTTGTGTTTACTTTTCTGCATTCCAGTGTTAATTTTTGTTTATTTGCTGTTAGCAAACCTTGCTGTCAACGGCGATGGGTTGTTCAGACGAAACTTTATGATCAGTCACCTATTCTACCATCCCTTTCTGTCACTTTGAAACATATCTCCTCTCGTTAGCGGTCCATTTTAAGTTGTTTTCCTACACCTTACCTTTTATCTAAAGATGAACACTAGTTTCGATTTCAAAGATGTGTATCTTCAATGTGAAAAAATGTTGCAAAAGAAAAATTCCTTCAGACACTGGTAGTTTCCTGCTGCGGACAACAGAACTGGCATTAAAATAAATGAGTAAATACAAAACATTTTAATAAAAACTATCTTCAGCAGACATCTTGAATAAGTTGTGGTGAGGTGTTGAAAAGAAAACCAAGGATAGCAAAACTGTGCAAAATTGTCATAAAACATCTGTAAAGAAATCTGTTTCATTTGGTATTAGTCAGACTCCATTAAATTATAATTGTATCATTTTAAAATAGCAGTTTAACCTGAAACCTGGCATGGCTTGCCTCAATAAAGCCAAGCTTGTGCTAAGATGGTGTCACCTTTTCCTAATCATTGTAAAACTGTGATCTGTTTTTATTGGCAATTACAAATACATAAATTTACATCCTCACCAACAGTTCGAATCATGTTAATCGCTTCTCCATGTCTCTTTCTTTCTTGCAGAATTTCTTCATTCTGATCCCATTGAGAATTCCTCACCTTACAAACATGTCAACAGATCTGGTCTTCAGGTTCCCAGGCAAGGCCATTTCCTTGATTCCGTCTCCAATACTCACTTCCGCTGGCCGATTAAGTCAGAAAACGGTCACAAACGAGGTCGTCCAGCAAATATGGCCTACCTGGATGAGCAAGAATCTTGGGAGCCAAAAGAATCTAAAGCAGGACCTGTGGAGTTGATGTCGCTGCCCGACTCCCTTCATCAGGAGAACCCGGAGAACTACTCGGGCGAAGGCAAAGATCAGGATCTAGAAGGCGCTTCGAGTGACAAAGGCAGAGCTGTGTCAGGAGAAGAGAAAGATGTGGAGGGAAGTGGGAATGGAAGCAGCTTTCCGGCTGGCTTTGAAATGAAAGTCAACACGCTGGCCAGCATCGGTGTCAAACTAAGTCCCACGCCCAAAGCTTCACCCAAACCAAGCAGTTTATTGGCAGTGGGAGAGTACACTACTCTGTCTCAGTGGCTGCTGGTTAATCAACCCACTGCCTCTCCTCAGGGTGCCATGGAGTCAGACACAGCTGAGGAGGCAAAGGGAGAGATACTTTATGTCCACAGACCGACTGAGATGCTCTCTCTGCTGTCTTCTTTGCAAACACAAGATGAGAGCAAAGAGACAGGGATGGCTTCCACACCTGCAGCTCTGCTGGAGGTACTGACATCTTCTGAAGTGACCACAGTGGAGCCTTTGGCCACAGAGCCACACAGAACAGACCCTGCCACCACAGTCATTATCTCAGAAAATACTTCAGACACGTCTTCTGCAGAGGAAGCATCTATATCCATTTCATGGGTTCAGGAAAAGCAGGAGAACATTAGTGTACCGGACCAGCAGAACCCTCTCCCAGTGACTCTGTTGCCTACCGAAAGAGCTCAAACTGGAGTCGTTCAATTCCTCACCAAAGCCACAAACTCTGAAATTGGCCTGACAGGAATGGAATCCAGATCTGCAGTTACTGAATCTTTTGTTGTGGGAAGTGTCCAGACGCCTTCCACAGAGTTGAAACCGGAGGAGCTCAGAACCACAAAGGCCACAGGGGACACAAGCAACCCGTTTGGCAGTTTGGTACCTGACTGGGCTTTCGGCCTCATCCCATCAGGTAAGTTCCTTTTACATTACCAGAAAATGAATGCATTGATAAAGTCACAGCTATCGGCGATTTTGCTTATAAATAGGAATTTCCATAAGTGGAAATTGCTGTGGAAATATGTTTTACCTCTGACTGAATTAATCTATTTTTGCGTTTGTCACTCTCAAATGTTCTCCAATTGTAAACAATTACCCCTCGTTGAATCACATTTTGTGGTTGACATTTATATGATTACGCTCAATTATTAGAATCCACCAAACTGCCCACAAATCAAGATCTTACAGGTTTTAGTTTTGTGGTCATTATAGAATAGCTGCAAACAACACATGCACAATCATGTTAGTCCACAAAGAACCAGAAACACGGTGGGTCTTATTTGTGTTCAATATTCAAAAACAAGAACGAGGCAAAAATTGAAACCATGGAAAAAGTTCCAAGGTGAAAACTACAGGTTGTTTTGGGTAAGTTTTTTTTTTTTTTTTTTTTTTTTTGTCTTTTAATAAATAAAACCATAATTTTGTTTGATATTAAAATTTATTTTAATTAGATGTCTAACATCTATCTGTAGAAAAAAAAAAAAAAAAAGTAATAACAGAAGATATCCGGAAGGCTCTGTCTGTAGGGGACTTGATGAGAAGCAAAGGATTAAAGCGCCAGCAGGATGTTATCATTGCTGCATGGACGCCATCTGACTTCAGAGTTTCTATCAAATGTCTCAAATTTAAAACATCCACTCCCCTGTTTCTTCCCCTGTGTCGCCTGTTGTTTCATTTTGCCAGTCCCCTCTGCTTCCTTGTCTAAAATGGATTTTTATTCAACCCTGGTTCTCGGTTAGTTTTTTTTTTTAGCCTTCTCCTTCTTTTTCTTTTCCTTTCTCTCACTCCCACGCTTTTACAGAAACAGCTGCAGACAGCGAGGCACTGCAGCGAGGTGAGACCAACTAGGTGTTAGGCAAGTAATTAGTGGGTCAGAGTGAGTGCAATTAGATGAACTGGGGAGCGATGGAGAACCTAGTGCCCGACAAATCAATGCAGACACAAACTACAAGATGGGACTTGTAATTGACTGCGGTCTCTTCTCATTTTCCAGTTTGCTCACGTTCACTCTGTCCCAGTTTTGGGTGCTGGCCTCAACTTTTTTTCTCTCACGCATTCGTTGTGCACCATGACAGGAATATTCTGGGGGCGGGGGGTTTGTCTCTGTGCTCTTTTATTTCTTTAATTGGACTTGCTAGTGTGGCAAAGTAGATGAACAAACATTGCTTTCTATAGTCACTTAGTTCCATCCATCCATTTTCTTTACACCCTTGTCCCTTAGTGGGGTCGGGAGGGTTATTGGTGCCTATCTCCAGCTAATGTTCCGGGTGAAAGGCGGGGTTCACCCTGGACAGGTCACCAGTCTGTCGCAGGGCAACACAAAGACAGACAGGACACACAACCATGCATACACACTTTCACCTAGGGACAATTTAGAGAGGCCAATTAACCTGACATGTTTTTGGACTGTGGGAGGAAGCCGGAGTACCCAGAAAGAACCCACGCATGCACAGGGAGAACATGCAAACTCCCCGGACTGGGAATCAAACCCAGAACCTTCTTGCTGCAAGGCAACAGCTCTACCAACTGCACCACTGTGCAGCAGCCAAAAAGTTTTCAAAACAGTTTTACTGTTGTTTTAAAAAGTTGCTATGTTGTTTTTGCATGATTTTATCTTCCACAGAGATGGTAATTTGCTGGGATTTGTAAGTCATTTATGTCCATGTTTTATCTACCAGAGTGCTGTATGTCATTGTAGTGTTTTTTTGTTTTTTTTGCCTTTGTTGAGAATTGTGCTCATGTTCACTGTGTGATTTGAAGCAGTCCATTTAACATAGCAACAAGGGGATATTCTGATTACATCGTGGTCTCAACAGATCACCTCACAGCCGATCAAATAATAAAAGACCAAACACCGTTTGCTCCAGACTGAGTGCGTGCACTTAATATATTCTGTGTGCTTGCCGTCTAGTCTGACAGTGGCCCATTATGCAGCCATTTAATTTAGTGAATGTGTAAATATGTCAGATTGATTTGTTCGCCGAACACAAGCTGATTCATGTAGCTTCGTGTCTGAAGGTCATTTTCTGTCATTTATTACATCAAATCGTTGCCATGTCACTCCGCTGCTGGTTGCATAATAACATTTAATGAAATCAGTCAGGACAAGAGAATGTTTTTCTCCATCCAGCTCATGTTTCACTGGTGCCTCGCAGTTGGCAGGGAATAAGAAGCACAGCGCCACCTAGCTGGTGTTGTTTGCAGCTGTTGCTTTTTGGTGCGGCTGAAGTCGCAGCAGACAGAGAAGAGGGAAAGGGTAAGAGGACAGACCGCTCTTGGAGAAGAAGAAATGAGAGAGGTGAGCATGTCCTCAACAATGCTGTCTGTATGAGTACATACATCTTTTTAATCAATGATCAGAGATTACACTGACACACACAACTACAGAGACTATATTGCTTCTCTCCATCTTTGCCTTGTTCGTTTTTTTTGTTGTTGTTTTTTCCTGTTTCACATGTCATTCATTGTTATCAGGCCAGGCTCAGGCCCCTCTGTGCTCTGTTTGGCAGTATATTGCTTTTGATAAGACACTGGACTGTTGCATAACTCCACATGAACCTTTTGCAATTCCCCAATGTGGTAGCCTGCAGCTAAAAGCAACACAAAGAAGTTCACACACACTCTCACACACGCATGCATACGCACATTATCCAGCTAAATCTAAACAAAGAAGCACAAGCGAGGCAAGTTCACGCTGGATAAAAATTCAATAATTTATCTTTTGTGTCACACCATTAAAAACAAACACAGAAACACACTCAGAAAATGTCTTCATCCCTCATTTCATACCCTGCAAGGCAGCGCACACGTTTCGTTTCATATTTCTTTTGTAATAACTCTCTTGCTTTCATACTGTGCAACTCCCAACCTGAGATTTCACAAAGTTTTGTAACAGTTAGTAAAAAAAAATTACAGAATTGATTTCCAGTCTAAAACATGCTAGCCATAATGGAAATTTACAGCAAGGAGGCTAGGCAGCACTGACATCCAGCCCCTCTTGGGTGATGAAGCAACGCTGGGGCATATAGTATTATTGGCTATCTATCCAGCCTCTAAATTACTGATGCCAGTCTGATGCTCTGGCAAGCAGGGAACAGGATGCCTCTGAGTTATTGTCATCTTGACTAAAGCCTTGTCCCGGACTAAAGATGGATCAGACCCCTGGCAACATCAATAACACGGCAGCCAGCCCACAACCAAATTAGAGCACTAGATTTGGAGGAGAAGAGCCCATACGATGAGTGTGTGTGTGTGTGTGTGTGTGTGTGTGTGTGTGTCTGTGCTGGTGTGTGCATGTGACGGGGACAGCCTGTGGTGGCAAATTGTCAGATTGGGTCTGTGGATGGATGTTCAGTCTGTCTGTTGGGGACCTTGGGTAGGCTGTCTGCAGCAGAGCGAGGGCATGTTCTCAAAACTGCATATAGAAGTCTATTGATTTTTCTTCTGTCTTTCTCCCTGTTGCTCCCGTCTTTATTCCCACTATCCCTCTTCTTCTCTCCCTATCCCTTACTTGCTTTCCTTTTTATCTCCCATGCTTCTCTTATCCCTGACTTTTCCTTTTATTACTCCTCTGGTCATTGCTGAGGCAGCCCCTGGCATAATGTTTCGATAGCTCCCTGAACTCCAGCGTGATACAACACGGCGCGGTCAATTCCCGTCGAACTGTAAATGTCCTCTGGACCCGTCGAACCTCGCCAGTCACCTCCCTGCTTAATCTGCTATTGTTTGCTCTGCTTCTCCTCAGCAAGTTTCTCGTATTCTTTCTTCTAATGGTGTAATTCCTCAATTTGTCCATATCAAACACTCTTGCTGAATCTAATCCGGTGCACTTGGCAGCCCCTTATTAAATGAGTGGGATTTGTAACAATGTACCCTTTAGGGACACCAGGTTCCATCATAGAGTATGATGAAATGGATTTCCACACCACTGTGTGGTGAGAGAGAGAAAAGACTTTCTGTATAACCTTGAACAGCAGAAAGGGTAGAAAGCAGTGACCAATCATACTGCAAACATGTAAATGGCCAAGTGTTGGTGAGATTCTCATTGTCTGATTACCTTGAGTAAAAATATCAGTGCCAAAGTATATCCTCTCCGACTCACGGCCTGTTTTTGAGAAATATGGCTGAAAATAACATGCCCAAAATGAATTGAATGTGTCTCAAGAACTACAGAGTTTATTTTAATTGTTTTGGTATCAAAAAACACGAAACGGCAAAGGTAGGACTGAATTTATGCTTTTAGCTTCGTGAAATTAGCTATTCCTTTTTTCTTCTTTAGCTGCTGGTTCAGTGAATTTTGCACGTAGCGTGGTGACTCTGGCATTGTTGGAAACGGCAGAGCTTCGGCTTTACTGTGATAGATAGTTTGTGGGCACTGGGCCTCGTTGCTCTGTCATTGATACATTTTTTACCGGATATGCCTCGTTAGCATCTAATTGCGTTTCTTTTTATCAAGCTGCTTAGTGTTCAAGCTGGGTGTTGTTGAGGTAGAAAATATTGTTTATATCATTTAGAAGAGCTTTTTCCCGATACATGGATATGCAGTATACCTGTATTGATAAATGTATAGCATGTGTTTTTAAATGATCTTTTTGGGGCAAGCGCCGAGGACCTCTAGCGATGGAGGCGAACTTTGAAACAAAAATCTAGGATTTTTTTCTATCATTTTAACACAAATTACAGCCAGATTTGTCTTTCTGTTGATAAGACTGCACAACATATTGATTAATGTAATCTTATCAGCCACAGTTATTGAAATGTTTTTTTGTGTTTTTGGCACAGAATTATTTCCAAAACACACAAATTGGACTTTGCTGTAAGCAAGGGGAAAGTTGAGTTGTCTCCTTTTAAGCTAACCAACCTTTGGGTTAGGGGCGTTGCTTTGCTCCATGCAGCCAGGATAGACTTCAGTCA